AAAAAAAAAAAAAAAAAAAAAAAATCCCCTATGATAGCAAATGTCTGTTGATAAAAGAAGAGCTTTTAAATATTGGGGGGGGGTCATTTAGAGTCAAATGGTAATGGCATTATGTTGGGCCAAGACCACAATGTGTTTCTAAGATAAATTACATTTCTCATAAGCTCGGTAAATGAATCTGAAGAGAAATGAGAGCTCCAAAAATATTTAAAACAAGGACAGCAGGCAGCACCCTTAGAATAAAAACTGCTTCCCCATAGAGACTTGTTTGAAGGACTTCACCAGTTTTGAATGTACAATTAGTGGTGCCTTTAAAAAAAAAATTGTGTCAAGAAGAAAAAGGAAATACACACAATAAATTGGATATTGAACATTAAAATAACCTCAGAAAGCGATGTAGTATGTCCTTATGAATCCTTTGTGTATTCTCTGCTTGAAACTATCACTCAGTATCAAATGTTTGAGTAGGATCCATAGAATTCCATTAACAATTTCACAAAAGAAGCACATACACTTTCGGTTCTCTTCAACTACAATGAGGAGAGATTTAAAACTCTCCAAACTCCTATTTTACTCCTCGAAATCACATTCTGACTTCAAGAACTAAAATGAAATGGGCTTGAGTAGTGAAGGAAAAAGCACCAAAAAAATAGAGCTGTGTGGGAATGGGGCGGGGGCGGGTAGGAGGGGGGACCAACAGGAGAGAGAAGCCAAGATACCCTCACTTCCAGCAAAGTCCTGGGTTTTTACTGTGACAATTTGGGGTATTTTCTCACAAACACAATTCACATGGTTAGAGTGAAAGAAAAGCAAAAGAAAAAGGAAAAAAACCTTTCCTTGATCCCCGTCCAGGTAGGCAGATCTGAAGATTCCTTCTCTAGTTCGCACTGCATCATCACTTAGCCATCCACCCTGTAGTTATCAAATGGCTGAATAAAGAAGGGGTTAGGGGTGGCAGAGAACAACCACCACGCAAACAAACAAGCAATCAACCTCTCAATCACTGAATTACTAACCACTATTTATACCCTTTGACTTAAGTGGTAATGAGTTCATCAATATTTAAAGGACAATAACCGTGTGATAAAACTCTAGAACCTTAAAACCAAAGAAAAGTACAGAAGGTGACATTTACCCTTTCTCTCCCTGCCCTCCCCATCTTCACTGGCCATCACACAGAATGGAAGCAGTCTCTCTCTCAGCAGGCTATTGTCCTAAGTAACAGCTGCCAGATGCTGTTCTTAGAGCAGATAAACTGAACATATTCCCCCTAAGCAAAGTGAATATAACTAAGGAAGTGAAGCAGCACAGCAGTGCAAGGAAAAAAGTAGTTGAAATTTACAGCTTAAAATCTCAGAATGTTATGCCTGAAAGGAACTGCAGAACTCATGTAGTTCAACATACTTTAGTATTGAATCAGTGGATTCTATAAGGATTCTAGATTCATTCATTTAATATAAAATGAACGGACTCTGTGAAGGCTAGGTTCCAATTCCAACTCTGTCTCTGACCAGCTATCTGACTCAAGCAAACCCCTTACCTCCCACAGGCCCATTCATTCAATACTAAAATAAGCGTGTTGAACTAGATGAATTCTATAGTCCCTCTCAGCCATAACATTCTAAGATGTTAAGCTCTAAATTTCAAGTACTTTTTTTTTTCCTATTAAAAGTGAGTGGCCTTTTTACAGAAATTGATAAACTGATTCTAAAATTCATATGAAAATGCTAGGGAACCAGAACAGCCTAAACAATCTTGAAAGAGAAAAAAGTTGGAGGATGTACACTTGCCGATTTCAAAATTTAATACATAGTTACAGTATTCAAAACAATACTGGCATAAGGATAGATGTATACATCCGTGAGACAGAATTGAGAATCCAAGAACAAAGTTATATACTCACGGGCAACTGATTTTCAACAAAGGTGGCAAGAAAATTTGATGAGGAAATAGTCTTTTCAACAAATGATGCTGGGGCTACTGGATATCTAAATGCAAAAGAATGAAATCAGACCCCTACCTCACATCATACATAAAAGTAAACTCAAAATGGATCAAAGACTTAAATGTAAGAACTATATTAAACCATAAAGCTCTCAGGAAAAAAAATAGGTATAAATCTTTGTGACATGGGATGAAGCAATGGGTTTCTAAGATATGACACCAATAGCACAAGGGACCAGAGAATAAAACAGATAAATTAAGACTTCATCAAAATTAAAAACTTTTGTGTTTCAAAGGACACTATCAAGGTAGTGAAAAAACAAACAGAATGGGGAAAAATATTTGCAAATCATACATATGATAAGGATTTAGTATCCAGAGTGTATAAAAAACTAACTCAACAATAAAAAGATAAATGACCCAATTTAAAAATAGGCAAAGGATCTGAACAGACATTTGTCCTAAGAAGATATACAAACAGCCAATAAGTACAGAAAAGAAGCTCAAAATCATCAGTCATTAGAGAAATGCAAATCGAAACCACAATGAGATACCTTTTCACACACACTAAAACGGCTAAAATAAAAAAGATGATGAGTAACCAGTGTTGCCGAGGACATAGGAATGTAAAATGGTGCAGTCACTTTGGAAAATAGTCTGGCAATTTCCCAAAAGGTTACACAGCGTTACCATATGATCCAGCAATTCTACTCTTAACGTATATGCCTCCCCAAATTGAAAACATATGCCCATACAAAAAACCTATACACAAATGTTCATAACAGCATTATTCATAATAGCCCAAAAGTGGAAACAAACCAAATGTCTCTCAACTGATGAGTGGATAAACAAAATGCAGTATATCCATATGGAATATTATTCAGCCATAAAAAGAATACTGATACATGCTACAGCATCGATGAATCTTAAAAGTTATGGAAAGTGAAAGAAGTCAGACACAAAAGGCCACATACTGTATGATTCCATTTTTATGAACTGTCCAGAATAGGTAAATTCATAGAGACAGAAGATAGATTAATGCTTGCCTGGGGCTGAGGAGAAGTGAGAATGAGGAGTGACTGCTAACGGGTACGGAGTTTCTTTTCGGGGCGATGAAGTATTCTGGAATTAGATGGTGGTAATGGTTGAACAACTCTGTAAATATACTAAAAAATAATGATAAATGTAACTTTAAAAGAGTGAACTTTAAAAGTATGTGAATTGTATCTCAAAATTTTTTTTAAAAGGCAAAGGCCCTCCTTAGAAAATTGATTTTCTCACTTCTGTTTCAGTCCACCTACTGGTTCATGAAAATATAGAAAGTTTGCAATGATACTTGACATTTATAATCCCACTGCCACAAATATTACAACAAAATTTCTTTTTAACCAAATTATAGATATCAGCTGATGGTCCATTGTATTTATTTTGCCTCTGAACAATGACGATCTGAAAGTGCCTCTGAGTTCATGATTTACCTCAGAGTCCTTTTTAAAATTTATATTTTTAAGTAACTGATACTAAACAAATGCCTTCATTTTAGAAATTTTAGTAATACTGTCATCTAGAAACAGGTAAAAATATTGCTCCTGCATTGACATTAGTTAGCACAGCCATCTTCAAGCAGTACTTTAAAATTTAATTCCTGTTCATAGGACAATAAAGACGCTAGGCAAGAGACAATTTTTCAATATCACTATTGCAATGTAATATGTATAACCAGATGCTTTAAGCCATGAAACAAATGCAGACTTTCTTTCCCCTGGAATATAAATAGGATTCTAGGCTTACTCTATTCAGTAGTAAGAGTTTAAGTGATTTTTTTTTCAAAGCTCTGCAAAGAAAACATACTCTTTATCTTCATCGTCTGTAACTTGTTTTGTGTGTCTGGTTTTCAGTACCAGAAGGCTGTAAACTTTGCATTAGCAATTTAACTCACAATAAAAACTTTCTAAGCATTTGAAATAGAGTGAAATATTAATTCTTGTCTGATATCACTGGGTTGTATTATACATAGTTCCATATAAGTTAAACAAGAAATCTGACCCTTCTAAAAATGCTTAAGTGTAAAGAGTAGGGTTTAAATAAGAAATAAACATCAAGGTCTGTCATGATTAAGCTACATTCTAAAAAAGCACCCACAGATTACAATAGGGTGATATGACTTTCATTTTTAAGTTGAATGAGAACTGCATATACTGTTTTTACTCTTAAACACAAGTGGTTTATACCATATCAGGGCTGCTAGCCCCAAGAAAGAGATGAACATAGAATGGATGGCCTTATTCAACTTCAGTATTATTTCTGCAGTAATGTGTATAAAATCCAACCACTGCTTGGGCAACCTTAGGAGAAAGCAAGCCTAAGAGATGAAGACCTTTACACCTTTTAATTATACTGCTACCTTATAAAAATATGAGGTTCAACATTTGTTTCCCTAAAAGCAAAGCACAAAACAGTCTTCAGTACAGTAACCTAGCTGATAGTTAAGATGTGTTTAAAATGTATGCAGGACCTTTAAGACTAGAACACGTCAAGGAGTTTTTCTGAATTATGTATATTCAAATGATGGTGTTATAATTCAAGCTGAACAACAACAACAATAAAATCTTGATAAGACAGGAAATGGGAGAAATAAAAACTGGTTTCTGAACCAAATGTGTACCATCTCACAGTAGAGTGAATTACTGGGAAACGTAGGCATGGAGTAGATAAGCTCCCTGTGAAGAAAACTGCATACAGGAATTCAAAAGAATTACAGCACACACTCTGTTTTTTTTTGTTTTTTGAATACATAGGCTCAAAAAACTGTTTCATCAGGGTTTTTTTATAGTGCATCTTTTTAAGATAAATTCTCATTTTTCATTCCAGAAAATATAAGAAACAGTTTGCAAGAATTCATGCAAACATGTTTCTCTAAGGCCATGAACTGGTTTGCTAAGTTGCATTGTTTTATTCAAGTAACAAGCCCTTCTAGAATAAGGGGTCTCTAAAGGAAGCCAATCACCTTCAACTCCAGGGCCTGCACACTTGTAAGGATCTCTCACTCTGAAAGCCAAAAGGTAGCATGCTCATTTGAGCATTAGCAATATGGTTTCTATTTACATTTTAAAAAATCTAATGCATGTTAAGTTTTTCTGGCAGATTCTTTCTGTATGTTACAAAACGAAAAAGCAAAAGCTTAGAGTAAGAATCCTTTTTTCTTAGAAAGGTCAAACAGATACTTCTTGACATCATGTCCTTTACACAATGGCATACTGTTCATATAAAAGGTCTCTTATCCTATAAAAATCTTGACAAAGGCAGCCTTCTAATCCAATGCGTCCAGTTTCCGTCTAGAAACCAAGTAAAAAAAATAAGTTATTTACCAGACTTTCTATCCATTAATATGCAGACATAATAACCAAAATATATTAACTAGATTGCTCTATGACTGATTAGGAAATGGACTGCTCTGATTCACAGAATATGGATATAATATTCAGGTCATGAATTTTACATAGACACATAAATGTCACAGGATTCAAATAATAAAAATTTACAATAAAATTATATATCACATCTTTGAGAGTCACTTTTAAAAGTCGTCAAGGTCATCACTATAAATGTGATGTCTTCACTATAAATTACTGATCTCCAGTTTGTAAAATTAATTCAATCAAGAATTACAGAATTCAAAATAACTAAACATCAGGAGCATTTGTTCAATTCAGCCCTTCTTAAAAACGCACTTACTCTACGGACTGCTACTTGATTGTTGCAAACGAGTACACCTCCTACGAACTCAGCTTGGATCCCCTCCCTTAAAAGAACTTGTTTGAAGTCCGACAGTCTTGGTTCATTCATAAAAACTGACTGATGTCCAGGAACCTTAGATAAGGTTAAAGGGGAAAGAAGAACTTCAAATAAAACACCAGACACACAGTTGTACTGAATAAAGTGAAATAACACATGATCTCTAAGATATTTCCTATTATCCCCTGAATTCCTTTGACAGATCATTTCAAGACTGTCAATCACATTCCAAGTTGTTAGTCTGAATTTTACCTCATTATTTTACATTACGAAGCCCTTCACATTTTCTGAATGTTTCACAATCAATTTTATTAGTCGTGCCTCATAATAACAGAATGCCATTTGATAATGTTATGCTCTTCACTCCCCCATTTGCCTAAGGGGGTCAACTAGAGTGCGAGTAGGCAGAACTGAACAAAAAAATTCATTTTCCAGATCCCAGTCCTTTGTATACAGTTCAGAGGATAATTCTCCCCTGATCCCACTTCCACTTTCCTTCCTCCCTCACAGTGAATGCGTGGGTTTTAGAATCAGAAAGGCAAGCGGTTCAACCTAATGCCGCTGCTTTGAATATATTCTCTAGCCATAGAGGACATATGCTCTGAAGTTGCTTTGAAGAGTGCCAGCTTTAGCACAGAGAGAAGAAAGTTCCTAATTCCTCCCCACAATTTTGTTGTACTTGAAGGGAATCCAATGACAGGCCGTCTCTCCATTCTTTATTGCATAGAAGGGCCAAAGACATCACTTGACAATCGTGTCAGACTCTCATAATATAGTTTTAATACTGCTGTAAGTTAATTACCTGAAAGCTCTGCCAGGTAACTAGCCATCTCTTGAGAACATGTAAATAAAATACTAGACTAAAACTGTACCTATAGGAAATAAATGATTTCTAACTGTATCAAAACCAAAAGTGGTTAAGTTGAATCAATAACACACAAAAATGGAGTACAAGAGTATGACATTCTTAGAAAATTATAAATCTCCTGGCTGGAAGCAGGTAGATGACCCTCACAATCATCAAACTTAAGATTTAAAAATCCATACTGAAAAACAAATCATGAAACAATTATGTATCTTATAAGATCTGCTAAAGGTTTCCTTACTATCGTTATCATTCTCTAGCCATAGAGGACATACGCACGCACACTGAGACATATCTTGAGTAATTTTTTTTTAACTCCAAAATGAGCCTATATATGACATATTTTAAATGGTTAAGAACATTTAAAAAAACATTCAAAGGATGACAAATTAAAGGAGAGAGAGAAGCAGCACATGCTTTTTACCTCATGAGGTGGTAAGGGTTCCAAAGTAGGAATGATCTCACTTTCTTCACCTGTTTCTTTCTCATCGTCTCCAAACAGACTTTTCATGGCCTTCTGCTGTGCTATAACGCTAGAATCTGAAGGAGCGTCCACTTGCATTTCTGAGTCTTCTCCATCATCCTTTAGTTCTCCTTCTTCTAAAATAACTCCTGTGTCCACTTTGGAAACTCTCATGTCTAAGACACCATCTATCCAAGCTAATTCAGCATCTTTTGCCTTACAAAACTGAAGGGAGCTGACAAGTGAATCTTTTAATCTCACCTAGATATGATGCAAAGGGGAGGGAGAGAAATAATGCCCAAAGAGTATAACTTAACAATTAAATATGATCTATTATTATTTTCTAACTCTAGTACTGTGTATTAAAATTTGAAAATCTTTCACTCATCTGATCTTCACTGTAACTGGTAATGACCTAATGGCCTGTAAAATCATAGGGCCCCTGTCTACTTTCTTAAGGTTCTTAACCTTGACTGTACATTGGGACCACACGGGCATTTTTTTTTTAACATTAATGCCAGGGTCGCACCTCCAGTGATTCTAATATAACTGGTGAGACTAAGGCCAGAACACTGAGCCCCCTGACTCCCCCAAAGCTCTCCAGATGTGTAGCCGGGGTGGAGAACCACTGCTCAGTCTCATCCCCTAGGACCTGATGCTACTTCAGGAGTACTGAATGGCTTAGGGTTTCCTCAATATACCACGCAGTTTACCACCTCCATATTCCTGCAACGCTGCTTCCTCTTGTTCTGCCCAGAATGACGCTGCTGCCTGGCGAATTCCAATCCATTTTTTCCAAACAAATACAGACACCACTCTTGCCTTACCTGATACCATCTCCCACTACCAGATATGAGTTAATCAAGCCTTCCTCTGTGCCATTCCTGTTTTCTATACCTGTCTCCATTTTTTTTCAATTAGGAATAGAACCTTAACATTTGTGAATTTTTAGAAAACTTCTGAATTCCTAAACACTCCCCATTCCCCTCACCTCTATACTTTCACAAATGTTGTTCCCTCTGCCTGGAACACTTTTTCTCCCTCTCTTTACCACTCTATATACCACGCTGACAACCCATCTAAATAGCCGTCGGGATTCAGCCTAGTTATCCCTTCCTCTGGGAAATTGTTTCTAAACCTCCCAAATTTGGGTTGGAATCTCCCTCTTTATACTCTCATAGCATCCTGTACTTCCTCTATCAGAGGTATAACAGTATGATAAATGCTATTTCCTTGTTACAAGCCCCACAGACTATAAAATCTGCTAGGACAAGGGACCACATTTATTTCACTTACCACTGTATTCCTAATCTATCTGTCCTAATGTGCAACAAAAAGCACTTATTTCTATGTGGCTCAAATGCCAGCATACTTACCTGGTAGATATGAGTTTCACTAGTGGCATCGACTGTTTCATGTAGCTTTGGCATGTACACTTTAATATCTTTCCCACCAAACCCACGGCAGCACTCTGCAAGATCCTGACTGGCCTCTGGTGGTCCATGGACAATGATCAACTGTCGCGGTTTCATCTGATTGATGATTTTTTTAATGGAATCCCCATCAGAGCGTCCTTCATAGTCTATGTAAGTAACCCTGGCTCTGTAATTACATGATTATTCAAGCTTACTTCTCTGGTAAGTTAATTCTAAAATTAGGTTTTTAATGGCTTTTATCATCAGGAAAGAAATGTATCAATATGTAGAATGAGGATTTGAGGAATACACGTGTTATATTGTTAATATGTATTATTGAGCTCTTAGCCATACCCAAGAATGTATACTAGATGATACCACTAGACAAAAAGCCACTTTGCTCTCTGATAACTTTAAAAAATATATTCCCAAATGATCATTTACTGGTGTTAACTGCACTAAATAGAGAAAAAAAGGTTCACAATTTTTTAAGGCACAGTGGTTATTTTTAGGCACAGTGGTTATTTTTAAGACACAGTCGTTTTTTTTTTTTTTTTTTTTTGCGTTACGCGGGCCTCTCACTGTTGTGGCCTCTCCCATTGCGGAGCACAGGCTCCGGACGCGCAGGCTCAGCGGCCATGGCTCACGGGCCCAGCTGCTCTGCGGCATGTGGGATCTTCCCGGACCGGGGCACGAACCCATGTCCCCTGCATCGGCAGGCGGACTCTCAACAACTGCGCCACTAGGGAAGCCCAACACAGTGGTATTTTTAAGACACTGTGGTATTTTTAAGATGTTAATGCACTCGCAGAGATGTTTGAGTCAAGGAGTTTATTTTATTAAACAAGGGTTTAGAAAAATTAAACTTGGAATTATACTAGCTCACCTGCTACTAGACTAACTAGAAAGACCAGAAAATGTTTTTTCACAAACATGTACAATCTAAAGTTTAACCTCCCCCTCACCACCAATTCATTTTGGCATTCAAATATCATTAATGAAGGGAAAAAAACACCATACCTCACAAGAAGAAAAAAATTACATTTTAAAGGCACAAACTTACTAGAGGATATTCAGAAATCTCACTTTTGAAACAATGTAAATTATGTGACTCAAGCGCTTGAAATTTTACCTCCTAATCTATGCTCAAAATGCAACAAGAGCACTTACTTTATTTCTATAGATTCTGTTGTAGAAATACACTTAGTAGGAACATCAGATAAATCCTGATCCATGGGTTCATCTCCATTTGTCAGGCCAGACTCTAATTTGCTTTTTTCTTCTTCAGTAGCTTGAAGTTCTGGCACTAAGAAATCCTCTGGTCTAAATAAAAAGTCTCTAATTAGAAGCAGTAACAAGCAAGCCAATATTATTTAATACATACAACTAATTAGTAGATGGCATAATTTTTAGACTCCTCACATATATCAAGATTCAAATACACATTTAATCCAAAGTCAGTGAAACTTCCCAATATCAATTATCAGATGACTGCATATATTACGTTCTTCATGACCATCAAGGAGTACACTTTAAAACACACCATGTGGGTGAGTGAAAAGGCCCTACCTACACACGTCATTAGAAGACGTTAGTGGCTATCGTAAGTATTCTTGCAACCTGGCCCTGCATTTGTTTCAGTAATTCTTTTTCTCAATTTCTGTGGTTTCTCTTGTCAATTTCCAGTCCTTATAAATCTCAGATATCCTTTAGTTTCTTTAAGACACCCACATTATTCCTTCCCTGTCCGATGAAAGCAGAGGACTCTCCATTTTTGCACATTACAGAGAAACCTGAGATACAAAATCATTAGCTCCCTCAAAAGCCTTCATCTTTATTTCAACAAACTACTAGCACAACTATTTTCCAATATCAGAGAGAGTTCTACATTAAAATTAAAAAGCAAACTTTTTTTAATGTTCTCTCTAATCTCTATATTTACCATGCCCTACCCCCAAATCCCCTCACACTCCTGAGAATCGAGGCCTCTGTCACCCAACATCTAGATTGCTGCAGGAGCCCAATATCTCCAACTGTAATCCACATAACAACTGTAGTAGCAACCACTTAAAGTGCATTTACTATGAGTCAGGTTCTATGCTAAGTGCCTTAAAAAGAATAACCTCATTGTATTCTTACCCCCATTTTTCAGATAAGAAAATTGAAGCTAAAGAGCACTGTCCATATGATAAACAGATTGGCCATTAATTAAGTGAAATGGTAAGCAAACTCACCGATACGGTTTAGTTTGTTAGTTTTTCTCCCTACTATTTTAGAGGGCCAAGTAAACAGTAGAATTTTCCTGATTAAATTCAAGGATGACCTAAGACCATATGCTCAAGATATTTACAAAGAAAGTAAAAGAGAGGGAACTAACTGTGTTGCGGTGGCAAGGGAGAGACAGGAAAGTTTTCCAGTGGTTTGTGAGGCCAGATTCAGCAGCCTGAAAGCTTGGGATGGGAAGGTAGAACCAGGCTGAAGGAAGAACATGGGTAAAGGCATGACATGAAAAAGCTGAGCAGGGGGAAACTGAGAGAAGGCTGGAACCACCAGAGTGGAGAACACACACTGCTGTAAGAGAAATATAGAGAAATATAATAGAAAAGTAGGGAGAAACCAAACTGTGAAAGACAGAGTGCATTATGCTAAAAGGCAGTTGACATTTACTGATCTTTATTCAGGATAGTAGTGTTTTCAAATCTGTGATTAGAATGTGTGATTTCAGTTGTTTTTCTAATAGTGGGTATAGATTTGGTAGATTTTCTATGGTTCCACTCACACTATCTCCTATTCCTCTTGTAACTAAAATATGTGTGCAACACTACTTGAGACATAAGCCATTTCCCCAACTTAACATAACCTCAGCCATCAAAAGTTCTTCCTATCATATGGTTTTCTCCAATGCACATCCCTTACCTCTTTTTAAGTGGGGAGGGCATGAAAGAGTCTTGATCATCGTTTTAAACATTTCACATACCTAAGTAATAAAACTACCAGTTTTCCTTTATTATTAACTCTCTATATGTTCCTCAACCTTTCTATTTTTACATTTCAAACTACAAGCTGAGATACTCAGAAACTAAGTACATGATGACCAGAAAGACCAAATTCTTTGAGCTAAAATGACAATAAAGTTACTACCTCCAACCTGTAAGAAAGAAAAACTTGTTTTGCTCACATACTTGATAATTTCTCCATATTCATCCCATTTAATTCTTTCTTCTGGGGCAGGAAACATAGGATAAGACTTTTTAGCCTGTTTGAAGAAACTTCCTTTACGACTACCTTCACCTTTCATCATCAGGTCATGCTTAGTCTTATGAGCTGATGGCTGGTCAATATCTTCCTCAACGTCACTCTCATCACTGGAATCTATGTCTGCCCTAAGGGAGTTTGGGAAAAGATAGGTCATAAAGTCCCCAAAAGACTTTTAATTAATATTTATAAAATTATTAATGAATTAACATTCACTATTAATTCAATGATAATGATAATATTATTGGATTGATATTTTGTAAAATACAGCATTAACTGCCAGTTAATAAATACATATTAACATTAGCACTGAAAGGATTTAGTATTCTAGCACCACTGGAAAGATGTAATAAAAGTAATAAAGTCAAAAGAAAATTTAAATATTTTCAATTAAACGTTTTTGTCTAGAAATAAGTTATCAAATTACTTATATAAACTCCTAATCTGTCTGAAAACAACTTACTCTTTTGACTGTTCAAGTTTTTTAGCAGCTTCTTTCTTTAGTTTCTCTTTTTCCAAGTATTCTTCAAGTTCTTTCCCTTCAAGTTTCACACGTTTCCTCAACTACAGAAAAATAGCAGATGAAAGGAAATATCAATATTAGGGGGTTAAGGCAGTGGGGTGTGAGATACATCACATCTCTAAATTGATTCATCATCTTTAAACTAAATTTTCCTCTGAAATTATTTAAGTTTCCATTATGTGCAATTACAGATCCTATTTAGATTAGTACTAAAATTGAGCTGTCACATTTCCAGGATGGGTTTAATTTAAATCAAACTGGATAAAAATCACCAATCAGGCAAAGAAAATACAGAGAAGTATTTTTATAATTTGGTGTAGGTGAGACCTACACATGACATAAAACCCAAAAGAAAACGTGAATAAATATGGTGACAGGGGAAAAAAAAAACTGACATTTTAAATCTCATGAAATTTAAAGAAACTGAGAAAATTATTTGCAGCACTATTTGACTATCAGAAGCTACTCTGTCCTAAGAGCTCTTCCAAATCAGTTAAGAAAAAGATCAAAAACGTCAAAATGATATACAAGCAATTTATAAAATAAGAAAAATAACTAATAGCCAAAAAAAGATATATAACTTTACTAATGATTTTTGAAAAAAATTTAAATGTAATACCATCTTTTAATTTATGAAATTGGCAATGCTAATTACTAATGGGGAAAGGGTACTTTCATCCGCTCTGGAAAATTAGTGCAACTATGTTAGAAGGCAGTTTGTCAACATCTAAAACTAAAAATGTGCTTGTCGTTTAACACAGCATTTCTACTTCTAGGAATTTATCCTACTGAAACGATCACACAAACATGAAGAAAAGAAGTACATGGCAGCAATGTTTGTAATAGTAAAAAACTGGACATAACTTTAAAATCCATCAACATGGAATGATTAAATCAGTCGTTCCCAAACTTTTTGATCTCTTTTAGCCTCTTAAAAATTTATGGCAGCAATGTTTGTAATAGTAAAAAACTGGACATAACTTTAAAATCCATCAACATGGAATGATTAAATCAGTCGTTCCCAAACTTTTTGATCTCTTTTAGCCTCTTAAAAATTTCTGAGGGCTTCCCTGGTGGCGCAGTGGTTGAGAATCTGCCTGCCAATGCAGGGGACACGGGTTCGAGCCCTGGTCTGGGAAGATCCCACATGCCGCGGAGCAACTAGGCCCGTGAGCCACAACTACTGAGCCTGCGCGAGTCTGTGCTCCGCAACAAGAGAGGCCGCGATAGTGAGAGGCGTGCACCCCCATGAAGAGTGGCCTCCACTTGCTGCAACTACAGAAAGCCCTCGCACAGAAACGAAGACCCAACACAGCCAAAAAAAAGAAAAAAAATTACTGAGAACCTCAAAGAATTTTGGGGTTTTGTGGGTTATATTTATTAATATTTACCATATCAGAAATTAAAACTGAGAGATTTTTAAAATATTTATCTGTTCATTAAAAAGTAATAAAACCATTCATTACATGTTAACATTAACATCATTTTTTACAAAAGATAATTATAGTTTCCAAAGCAAAAAAAATTAGTAAGATGTATGGCATTGTTTTACATTTCTGCAAGTCTCTTTAATATCTAGCTCAATAGAAGACAGCTGGATTCTCACATCTGCTTCTGCATTCAATCTCTTGCAATATATTGTTTTGGCTAAAGTATATGAAGAAAATCCAGCCTCACACAGATGAATAGTTGGAAAAAATTTTTAAATAGCCTTTTCATGAATATTCTTATTTGATATTACATTAAAACTCAGAAAGTGGTAGTTTCTTAAAGGTTAGTTGTAGTGTGGAATCTGTAACCATACCGATAACTTCTGTACTCTGTTACTAAAATTTACTGATTTATCTTACACTTTGACTGGATCTTTTATTTGTACATTATTTTGCAACTTCATGCAGTAGTTATGTGGAAAATACTAGTTCACTAAGTTACACAGATCTTACCAATATTGACAGTATTTTTAAAAATCACACTTGCAAATATCACCACCAATCTCATCAGAAAAGTCTTTTAAGTTGTCAGTCTCACAGTGACGGGCGTAAGTTTTCCAAAATTCTAATTTTCACTTGAAAGTTTCAATTTTATCAGATTGAGGCAAAAATGCTATCAATTGTTTTCCTTAGATCCACAAGCTCAATTATTTATTTTTGGGAAAATATTTGCCAAATAGCCAAGTCTGAATAACTATGTCATTACTTCAAGTAAAACCAGTGTTTCAGGGAAAAAAAAGTGGCTAGTTTAACTCAACAACTCAAACAATTACACAAGTGGTTTTCTTCAGGACAAACATCATATTTCAGTATGCAACACAAGTGCTTTTGTATATTTCACATCTTGGCACTCAGATTATTAAAAAAACCTTTTTACTAAAAGGATTTAATTAAGTTAGTAACTCTTACTGCTTCATCAAGGACATTCTTAAGTGAAACTGACTTTTTTGAACTACAAGTGTGTGGTAATGAAAAATGCAGTGATTAATACAGTTTGGTGCCACTGCCCTGATTTATGCTAAGGGTAGCACTTTACCCACCATTGCTTTCACTCGTCAATATAAATGTAGACACAGTAAAAGGCAAATAACATCTTAATATTATCATGAAAAACAGTCTGTGGACTCCATGAAAGCATCTCAGATAGTCCCCAGGGGTCCTTACACCATACTTTTGGGAACCACTGGATTAAATAATCAAAGTACGTATACATAATATATTATTAAAGAATTATTAAAAAGAATTCATTCACTTATTCAAAAACATTTGAAAGTTTATTAATACCAAGTATTAAATACAGTAAATCTGTACCTACTTTCACTGTTCAAAAAATGTGGATAATTTGGCCACATTTCTTTTTTTAAAAAAATCATATAGATATTTGTATGTAAAAAGAAAAAGAAATCTAGAACATATATGCTTCAAAAATGTCGTCATGACAACTAAATGCAATGTGTAATCCTGGATGGGATTCCGAACAAAAAAGGAAAGGGCTGGGCTTCCCTGGTGGCGCAGTGCTTGAGAGTCCGTCTGCCGATGCAGGGGACACGGGTTCGTGCCCCGGTCCAGAAAGATCCCCCACATGCCGCGGAGCGGCTAGGCCCGTGAGCCATGGCCGCTGAGCCTGCGCGTCCGGAGCCTGTGCTCCGCAACGGGAGAGGCCACAACAGTGAGAGGCCCGCATACCGCAAAAAAAAAGACAAAAAAAGGAAAGGATAATTATAAAGGACATTGTTGGAGCATTCACCAAAAGTCAAGTGGAGTCAGTGGATGAAATGGTAGTATCATATCGGCGCTTATTTCCTTATTTCAATGGATGTATTATACAACAGTTTTGCAGGAGAGTCCTTGTTTCTAGGTAATACACACTGCTGTGTTTAGAGGTAATGATGGAATACCTGCAGCTTACTTTCAAAAAAATACCTAATATTTTTATTTTACAAAAAAATATCTAATATTTTATATCTAATAATGTGTCTATATGTATAAAAAGAAGTCATAAGGCAAATCCAGTAAAATGTTGACAACTGGGAAATCTGGGTATACTATTTTTTATAACTTTTCTGTTAACATTGAAATTATTTTAAAATAAAAAGCAACAAAAAAAATTAAACCAAAATCAAGTGTTTCTACTATATAGGATGAAAGAGTGATTTACATGTTACACCTGGCATCCCACATTTGCTTACTTGGAAATAAGTTCAATTTAGAAAAGTGTCATTATTTTCCTGTAGTACACACTCTCAGCAATTTACATAGATCTCTATCTTAACCACAAATAAACTCTGACAGAACATTTACCTCATGATTTAGTTTATGCCTGTTGCTATAATAAATTTTACTCTCCATCTTATTTTTCATTTAAGGTATCTAAAGTTAATGACTATATTCAAAAACAGATTTCTAGGGCTTCCCTGGTGGCGCAGTGGTTGAGAGTCCGCCTGCCAGGGCAGGGGACATGTGTTCGTGCCCCAGTCCGGGAAGATCCCACATGCCGCGGAGCAGCTGGGCCCGTAAGCCATGGCCGCTGAGCCTGCGCGTCCGGAGCCTGTGCTCCGCAAAGGGAGAGGCCACAACAGTGAGAGGCTGCGTAATGCAAAAAAAAAAAAAAAAACAGATTTCTAGAATAGTCAAGCCTAAGATGTTTTTCTCCCTAGTCCTTCACTGTATTACCTCCAAGTTATTCCTTTTTCCTAATCAAATTTACTCCAATTCATTAATCCTTATTCATTTACTGTTTTTGCTCTTCTTAAATGAGTAAGATTTGACTCTAGAGAATGATAAATGTAGATGAAAAAATACCATACATAGTAAACTCTTATCTAACATGATAAGAAATCTGGTTTATTGCCTATTCACCTATTTGGTCATTCATGAATTCAACCAACACATTTACTGAGGACCTTCAATGTACCAAGCACTGTTCTGGGTGCTAGGGATATAAAAAAACAAGATCCCTTTCTCATGGAACTTGTATTCTAGTTGGTAGTAGGAAAAGGAAGACAACAAACAAAGGAAAATATCAGATAGTAATGGGAGCTAGGAAAAATAAAGTAATGTGATGGGTTGGCAACTAACTGAGTAGTAGACTGGTAGTCAGAGAAGCCCTACCTGAGGAGGTGACCTTTAAACTGAGACTTGAATGAAAAGGAGTGACCAAGTGCAAAGCTGGGAAGAACATCAGAGGCAGGAGACCCTGATGCAGTGAAGCAGTGCAGAGCATAAAGAAAATAGAATGAGATATGGTCAGAAAAGTGGGTGGAGATCAGATCAGTGGGATCTTGAAAGCCCATGTAAGGAGTGTGAATTTTATTCAAAGAGTAGAAGGAAGCCACCTGAGGGTTTAAGCAAGGGAATGACATGAAATGATGAATTTTTAAAAGATGCCTTTGGGAGTTGTTCAATGGGTACAGAACTTTTTGCAAGATGAAAAGTTCTAGACATCTACTGTACACCAATGTTCATATAGTTAACACTGCTGTGCTGGACCCTTAAAAATGGTTCAGATGGTAAATTTAATGTTGTGTGGCTTTACCACAATAAAATGAGAGACAGAGACAGAGTGAAAGGGAAAGATATGTCTTTGGCCGCTATGAGAAGAAAGGATTAAGGGAGTATAAAAGTAAAAACAGCGAAACCAATTAGAAAACCACTGCACAGTCCAGGCAACACCACTTAGCATGGGCTAGGATGACTGGGAGTGGAGATGGAGAAAAGTAGACAGATTTAGGATATATTTGGAGGTTGAGTCAATAGGACTTGCTCCTGGATTGGATATGGGTAGTGAGAGAAAAGTTAAGGAACTGAAAATAAATTTTAATAATCTGTGCATTAGAAGCCTGGATAGTGGTTACCCTTGGAAGGATAGGGAGGATCAGAAAGGGGGCATCTGGGGTACTGGTAATAGTCTGTTTCTTGATCTGGGTATAAGCTAGACAGGTGTGTTCAATTTGTGAAAATTCATCACGCTGTACACTTACAATATGCAAACTTCTCAGTATATATTACACTTCAATGAACATTTTTAAAATTTCTGTATTTGGGGCTTGAATAAATATGTGGAAAGCACTGCTAGTCCATGACATGAGGAAGACTCAGAGAAGAACAAGTTTGGGAGCAGAGGAGGAATAGTAAAAATTATTTTGGATGTCACCAAGTAGAGGGAGAAGGTGATAGATAATAGAGAGAAAAAAAATAACTACAGAAGAAATACCCCTAACAAGGTGAGAGGGCAAAGAACCCTAGACATATGGGGCTTCCCTGGTGGCGCAGTGGTTGGGAGTCCGCCTGCCAATGCAGGGGACATGGGTTTGAGCCCTGGTCTGGGAGGATCCCACATGCCACAGAGCAACTATGCCCATGCGCCACAACTACCAAGCCTGCGCTCTAGAGCCCGCGAGCCACAACTACTGAGCCCATACGCCACAACTGCTGAAGCCCACGCGCCTAGAGCCTGTGCCCCGCAAGAGAGAAGCCACCGCGATGAGAAGCCCACGCACCGCAACAAAAAGCAGCCCCCGCTGACCGCAACTAGAGAAAGCCTGTGCACAGCAATGAAGACCCAACATAGCCAGAAGATGGAACAATGATGATTAGCACAAGTGGTGAGGTTCATGAATTGAAAGTCTCAATGGGACCAAAGAATTGTTGGCATGAGAGTACTAGAGAAAGTCAGCTATGAGACCAGAGTGGGATGCTTGAGGGAGAGATCTAGAGATCATAACGAGGTTAAAGGTATGACCATGGGAGTGGATAGCATGATCATGGGAAGGGATGGCTGAGGTGGAGTGGAGGAAAAGATCATTAAGAAATAAGGTGTCAAGGAACTGCGAGGGACAAAAACTGGATAAATCATACATATGGATGCTAAAGTCATCAAGAATAGAGTCCTGAGTATGAGTGGACTGGAAGACTGTGAACCAGGGTCTAAAGTCACCGATGAACAACAGAGAATGACCAAGAGATGAGTGTCTGAAACAAGGAGGGGTCAGTGTATTTTCAAGTCTGACAGCATGAACTACAGAGGGAAGAGAAATGGCTTGAAAGCTGCAACACAGAACAAGGATACCTACCCCGCCCAAAGTACACGAAGCATGAAAGAGAAGGCTACAGGAAAAAGAAATCATTAGGAAATAGCCAGATTTCAATTACAGGAAGGATGTGAAAGGAATTTTTCAAAGAGTGAATAAGAATACAGCATATATGCATACTCTCTGGGTATGGTTCCAGAGGGCACCATGGAAGGGTTCAATACTGAGAGTTTCCAATTAAGGAGCTCTGAAATATGTGCTATTAAAGACCTCTCTACTGTTAGTCAGATAAAAATCCTGAAACAACTTCAAGTTTTATTTTGGGTCACTGTTATAAACATCTTGTATAATGTACCCCCCAAACAATTTTAAGATAAGGTTCATGGACTTCCATGGCAGGCCAGTGGTTAAGACTCCGTGCTTCCATGGCAAGGGGCATGGGTTCAATCCCTGGTCAGGGAACTAAGATTTCACACGCCACACAGTGCGGCCAAAAAAGAAAAAAGATAAAGTTCACATACAAGCACTTACCTCTATTTCTGTAATTTTTTCAGAAGGATTATCAATTAGGAAACGTGCTAAAGTCCCAGGAGTAGTTCTGTAAGTTAGAATGATCGAGTTTTTAGGGTCCTGGCACCACTGAATAAAGAGATCCCTTGAAAATCCACATTCCAGGTCGGGCTGGCTGGCAAGTACCACTTTAGGGCTAGGTACTCGAGCCAAGTCAGAAAGACCATGACATAGAGAGAGATGACGAAACTGAAATGGATTATTTCTTTTGTCTTCAAAACATCTCATCAATTTATCACTCATCCATTCTACCTAATATTGGGGGAAAAGGTGACAATAATTAGAAAATACTGTATTATAACCTCAATGTATCCTACAATAGTCAAGGAGTTCAAATTCCATCTTGTTTAAAGTCTTTTTTCCACCAATGGCTGCTTATATTTGTACCATGTTAATAAGCAGCTTATTGTCTGTCTCTATTCCCCATCAGATCTTCCCAGACCAGTGTTCATCCCCAGAAATCTAATTTTGCATTATGTTTCAGTTATAAGTCACCTTAAATCTTATTCAGAAGGTGGTATATAAGCTCTAAATGAATATCTTACCCCAGACATTGCTACTTCAAGAGAAAGAGCTTATCCAAAAGGAAGAGAAAAACAGATTCTAACAATTATATTCTATGAAGTAGGTTCTACTTTTGCCGTCATTTTACAGATTGTGATACTAAGCATTAGAGAACCAAGTTGCCCAGTCTGTAAAAATGGGGACAAAAACAGAACCTACTTCATAGGATATATAAGGATTAAATGAAAATAATACACAAAGTGTACAGAACAGTAAGTGGTTGATTTTTAGTTTTTATCATCATCATAATCATTACCAACATTATTATCATCAACCCCAAGAGAAAAAGAAAATCCAAAGGGCAATTAACACATTGCTTTCCATAAGCCCTATCTCTGTAGCAAACATCTTTATTACAAATGATAACATGAAAACAAACCTGGGACTTAGAAAACTCCACCACATTATAACTGACATTATTTAGGAGTGCCAATGAGTAAACACCCAATCCTGCATCTTTAGTTCTCCAAATTTGATCAAGGAGTTGAGCAAGTTCCAAAACTCTGCCTGCAGTGTCCACTGCTATTAACACATTTCCATCACCTCGAAGTGTTTCCAGGACATTTGCTAGAAAACAAGAATGTAAAATCCTTATAGAACATAACAATACTTTGCTATAAAATTAAAGATAACTTTATCTCCATGTTTTTACTATGAAGACTATAGTTTATAAGAATGCCATTAACTCTCAATTTTTTTTTCCATTGAAAAATTATAAATCGGTGGTTTCGAACCCTTTCCCCCATAGTATACATAGAAAATGACATTTGTATAGTATAGTGGGGAAATTGGGTGAATAGGGCAAATGCAATCAGCCTTTGGTTTCCAGGTCACTCTGGTCTTACCTGCCTACCTCAATGAACTTCATTATAAAACATAATTCCCAAATTTATACACACACATTTATAGTTTAGATTAATACATACATGTTTTGTATGTATGTGTGCCTGTAGAATAAAAGATAAATAATATTCCCTCTTCCAATGAAAGACTTTCTAGATGAAGATCTGCTTGGAAATATTTAGTCAAATCAACCTCTAGCAAAAACAAACAAACAACAAAAAAATACCAAGAATTAAAAATTTCTTAAAAGTTAGAGTAACACAGTATATAAGACATACTTTTTAAGTAGGAAAATGAAGGCACTGGTATCAAACATGTTGAAAGTGGAATCCAATTTTCCCTGTTGAATTCCCATGCAGCTTACAAAAAAAGAATGTAAGGTAATAGGGCTCAAGCCAAAGCACAAGCAACCAGGGATGGCCGAGATACATCTCTTTAGAATCAAGACTACTAGATTAGAGCATAAGACACCCAAACACCAAAATCAGCAGACTATTTGCACCCTCATTTACCTCCTTTATTCATTTTTCTTTTAGAGTGTAAATGTTTTTCTAGTAGATTTATACGAGATCTTTATATATTTTGATGTTTCCTAGACATATACCAGTGAGAGCTAGCTATGTGCTGAATGGCAGGAAGAAACCAATCTTTATACCTATACCACAGAAGTTAAATTCAAACCAATTAAAGCATCTTTTTGTAAAAATATTGATATGGTCACATAATATTTTTTTCAAAACTACTAGAGTTAGCCAATCTTGTATGACAAGAAAAATGTCAAACAGAACAGAATAAACAGTAATTCATACTACCATGCACTTCCACAGCTTGGTACAATGGACAGTATGCAATACATACTCAGAAGTTGCTCGTCTCTTTGTTTTCTCCTGGGCTGCACATACGTAGCATTAAATGAATCTGTGATAAGTAGAGAGGGTCTGCTTAGCATTTCCAGGGAACATCCATTTAAGTGGCTATAACGAAGTTGAAGAAGAGGAATACTTTATATCATCTCAAATAAACAATAGCTTTTCTTACCTAAAAAATAACTTCTTTTATAAGGTTTTTTCCTTTTCTAACTATAAAAGTATACATGTTCCTTGATAAGAAAATCTGGTAAATTCAAAAAAGGAAAATTAAGCTCTTCCAGAGTACCATCACTCAAAAGATAATCGAGGGCTTCCCTGGTGGCGCAGTGGTTGAGAGTCCGCCTGCCGATGCTGGGGACACGGGTTCGTGCCCCGGTCCGGGAAGATCCCACATGCCACGGAGCGGCTAGGCCCGTGAGCCATGGCCACTGAGCCTGCGTGTCCGGAGCCTGTGCTCCATAACGGGAGAGGCCACAACAGTGAGAGGCCCGCGTACCGCAAAAAAAAAAAAAAAAAAGATAATCGATATAATATTTTGGGGTACATCTTCTAAGTACATAAATAAATTTTTCTATGCGTATATAGGTATATGTGTTTTACAAAGGTGATATCCCATGTATATGATTATATACTCAGTTCTATATCCTAGTTTTCTCCCATGACATTAAAATAATTTTCTAAATCTGATTTTTAACAATTATAAAAGCTTTCTGTTGTGTTTATACAATATTTATTTGGTCATTTCCCTTTATTGATATTTAGGTTACTTTTTTTATGCCATTATAAATAATCTGTCAAAGAAAATTTTGCAAAAAGCTTCAATTGCATTTCTAGTTGTTTCTTTAGGACACATTCCTAGAAATGTATTTACTAGAATATATGATATTGCTAAATGGCTTTCCAGAAAGGCTTAACCTTTTTCAGAAAGCTCTCCCTTTTCCAGAAACGTTCAAACAGAAAGAATGACCAACTCACTAAATATTTCCCAGAAGAATACTACCATTTAAAAACAATTTTAACAGTATTTAATTTAAAAAATCATTATCATTTAAATTTTCTCTTTTTTGACTTTATAACTTTTGTCCATTTTGCAACTGGTATCTTTTTGATTGATTAATACCTGGTCTTATAAATAAGTCTTTGCTCAACTTGATGTAAATATTTTCCCTCGTTTATAGGTCTTTAATTTAGTTTGTTTCAGACATTTTAAACCTGTATGTAATCAAATCTAGCAGTCTTCCTTTGCAACTTGGTCCACTGCCTCTCTGCTTACAAAGTCTTTTCCAAATCAAGAGATCAGACTCACCAATACTGTTTCATTTTCTATTTAAATTCTAATCCAACTGAAATTTATTTCATTATGCGGTAAAAAAAAAAAAAAAACACAAACCAAGTTTTTTCCCAAAATGTTTGAATACCATTTACTCAAATACCCATCTTTCCTCATTAACCTGTGATTACAAGAGCCTAAAATTCAACTTATTAGTCTTAAATATTTCTTAATAAGATACAAAAGATCTTGAGGATACTGTAATCTAATATAGAATAGCTATGTACGTGATGTACAGCAATTACAAAAGAAGCCAAAACAACTTTATAGAAATGCTATAAGTACAAAATGAAGTTTTAAAATTAAACTACTGTGTCCCATTTTAAAGGGAGTCTGACTTTAAATATAGTTATATTAGATGGTATTAATGACTTTATCAAAAACAAAAAAAACTCCACCTGCAAAGTTCCTCTAAATAGCAGGTCAAGAACATATATAATTTGTTGTACAAAAATTAATCTCCTTTGCAACCTCTCCAGAGTTATCTGTTTTATAGAGTGGATATTTGCATTTAAATTTCAAAACAATGTCTTTTATCTCATATCAAACTTTTTCCCTTACAATGCAAATAACTCTGAAAACATTCACTGTTTGGTGTTTTTAAATTGCTCTAGATTTCTAGTTAAAAAAATAACTTTGGGGCTTCCCTGGTGGCGCAGTGCTTGAGAGTCCGCCTGCCGATGCAGGAGACACGGGTTCGTGCCCCGTTTCGGGAAGATCCCACATGCCGCGGAGCGGCTGGGCCCGTGAGCCATGGCCACTGAGCCTGCGCGTCCGGAGCCTGTGCTCCGCAAATGGGAGAGGCCACAACAGTGAGAGGCCCGCATAACGCAAGGAAAAAAAAAAAAAAACTTTGTTTCTAATTTTCCCTCCGAAGAATGAAATAATACGAACTGCATTTCCATTAGCTTTTTGTCTTGATATACCTACATCTCCCTCTTGTGGTTGAAGTCAACTGCATAAACAATTTCTTCTTCTCCATCTTTGACTATTTTCCATATTGTTCCACCTATCATATGACCAGCTGGCAGAGGTGTGATAGACAAGCCATGTCCTTTACCTATGTCAACAAGATAATGACAGTACTCAGATTTCTTTTTACAACCCTAAAGAAAGGTTATTTATCTTTAGCTATTTTTAGATAGGTAACATATGCAATGATACAAAACTCAAAAGTAAAAAGGCATACAGTGAAATGCAAGTCTCACCCGCCTGTCCCCCAGCTACCCCATACGTTCATGCAGGCACTCTTGTCATTTTATTATATATTCTTGCAGATATATTTGTGCTGATAAATAGAAGGCTAGAGATTGCCATTACTATTTAATAACTTAGCATGAACTAATAAATTTTAATATTTCTATTGTGTACATAATTATCAAGTGTTTCCATCTTCGCTAACCTCTAAATTGACAATTCTTATCTCATTATGGTAAAGAATGTATCGTATAGAAAACAAGTACAAGCAAAACTGTTAAGACCATTGTTACTTCCTGGCTAATCTTCAGCATCCATTTTGTGCCATTTTTTCATATTTATGGGTTCAAATTTATGAAAATGTTTTAATATAATTCTCTCTACAGATGAAAAATATATACTTAATATATGACTTCCTGACCTCATTAAATGACAATTTTCTTTTAATGTTAAATTCTAGAATTCAGGCATGTTCTACTCTGTGCTGCCACATAACTTCATTTACTTTAATCACTACATATAGTCATCTGAGCTACTCAACCTACATCTGATCTACTGTCCTCAACCTAACTGTGAGCTCTTAGGAAGAGAATCTGGCCACATTTACCTTTGTGCACTATATACAGTAAACACTAAATAAGTGTTTCCCAAATTAAATGTGAAAAGGCCTGAGCTGTTACATTTTGTTAGAATATAGTCTGGAATATTTTAAAATTCAAACGACTTAGGGGAATTTCACAGTTCCCTATGAAAAAATGCTGATTTTTTATTCTTCAGACAATAGTGCCTATAATTTTTATGACAAATTCCCCTCATACTTTTCAGTAGTTTAAAACACCATTAGTCCAATTATTTGCTACTGGAAACATGTTTTACCTTTCAAATTCACAATCTGAGAGAATTTTAACTGCTGTATTTTATCAAAGGCTGCATCCACATCATCTAGTGTAAAGAGTGTAAAATCTTCTGTATTGTGTCGGGACTAAAAGAACAACACAAATAAAAGGTTAAAAATGCTCACTGCAGGAGTGTTAAAATTTTTTTTTAATTGCTTAAATTACCTGATAAAGATCATACATGAACATCTGCCCCATTTTATAAACAGGAATGGTTGCATAGATAGCACAGTTCAGACCCAACTTTCCGACAGCATAGGGAAGGGCGCCAAGATGGAGAGGATCGGGGTGAGACAACAGTACTGCATCAATCTGGTGAACATGCCTAGAACACAATAAAAATGACTATTTCTCAGTCTTGTTCCCAAGGGTAAAGGCAGGATATTCAAAATTAATTTGCCAGTTCTGATTCCTCTCAGTACTCTGAATCGAAGACTATGCTGGGGTAAAAGAGAAAAACTAAGAGCTAAAATTATGTTACCTATGAATTTCAATTATTACTACCCCTGTCCTACATAGAGATCAAAACTATGGTATAAGTTGCACATAAATATATAGTGTCTAGACACATTTTTTAAAAAAAAGGAAAAAGAAAGGGAAACAGTAGACACCACACATAAGCTGACTTCAAGTGGCTACCTTGTATGCTATTAATTTAAGTTCAAGAACTCAGCTTAGAATTTAAGAAATTGTAAAGGAAAGGATATTTAAAAGGCCACATATTTATTATGGATTTTTGTCTCAGCTTTTTAGCACGGTGACTGACAGTATATTCATGATAGTAAAACTTCAATTAGTCAATGAATAATATGTTCTCATCAACAAAAAAATAAAAAAAATTTTTGCTACAAGTTCTAAGTGTTTTAAATGTTTAAGTCCTGGTTCCTTCCATAATTAGTACAATACTGCTAACGTAACTAAATTTTTCTTTGATAGATTAGTATACTTTTGTATCTCACGGTCTTTATTCTAAGCACCAGTTCTCAAATTGAATCAAAAGATAACAGGAATTGCATCAAAAGATAATAGAAAATAAGCTAATGTGATTTGACTGAAGAACTTTTACAAGGAAGGTTTTTCCTCTCTTCAAATTCTTATAAATTTAATCTTACTCTTTTTCTAAAATTAGGGTGCAAAAATTTCTACTGAGTTCCATCGGGCAAGGAACAATTAACTTAATATTTTGCTGAATTTCAATAAACACAGCTTGAGTCAATCAAAACTACACAAATAAAAACAGTCAGTATTTGGCTCTTCAGCATAAGTAAAACTAAATATTTTACTATCAACTAAATTAGAGCAAAAAAGCAAATACTGTGTAACATCAAAATGGTATAACAGCATAAAAAAGAGAAGTTGGTTTACTAAAAGTGTGGAAATATTAACAGTAACTTACTTCCTCAGGGAATCTATAATATCCATAGAAAAGTGCTCATCCCAGCCACAGTCCAATAAAAATCTAAACTCATCGACTTGGAGAAGATAGCAAAGAGCAGACTCTTCCTGGACCCCAGAAAGGGTAGTTAATTTGATAATAGATGTCATTTTTTCGGTCCAATAACAACAATCCAAAAGGTTCTTTCAATAGAAATAAAAACATAGTTAAACATAAAAGTCATTTCAAAGACCTATTTCCATCATTGCTAAGCGTAAAGGTACAAACATAATCTTACACACTCCTGTTTACAGAGAGTCCTTCAGTGGCTCCCCAGTGTGGTTTAATGAAAAGTAGTAGATTTTGGAATCAGGCAGACCCGTATTTGAATCTACTCCTATGTGGTTCTGGGCAAGTTAATTAACTTTTCCTCACTTATGTATCCTAGTCTATAAATCATGAGTATTAATATATACATAAGAAGGATGTTGGAAGATTTCAAATAATGTGTAAATTACCTAGAATGGGCGCTACTGAGTTCCTCAATAAATAAATGTATACTAAATTAGTGAACTTATTCTTCACGGTAAATTTGTTCCTCCTTTACTTTGCTCTGTGATGGCAGTAATTACATTGCATTACAGTTATTAGTTTATGGGTCTTTCTCTACCAGTAGACCAGTGGTCCTTAAATAAAGGGACGCCCCCGCCGAGAATCTGATAAAGGGCTATGGCCGTTTCCTTCCCCCCCCCCCCGCCCGCCCCGTCCTTACAAAAAGACGAAAAGGCCCATACACATGTAAAAATTCATGTATTTTTCAGGGAGTTTAATGTTAAGAACTCTTGCACTGGAATGTGAACAACTGAAAAACAGAGGTAGTACCTTACGTTTCTAATTTCTAAAAGAGAGTCTGACACATAGTAGGTGCTCAACACATACTTGATAGAATATAGTCAGGACGCCTACTACGTATTTCAAGAAGATACAACATGAACACATGTATTGGAATTTAGGACCTAGAATTTGTGTGCTATTAAACAGATGTTATTAAAAACATTGATTAGCAAAGTACAACTCCACAGCAACATTTCAGATCTTAGCTTTAGCCTTTCCTGGCTAACTACGCAAGTAAGAGAGGTCACTGCATATCTCACGATCCCTCACCATCTGCCCAAGGTCATCTCAACAAACTGAGGTAAACTGCCCACCTTTCTTAACAGGCTGTCAGGGGGCTAATCCTGCCATATCTCCCATCCTTGTTTACCTCGGTCACAGCCAAACATCCAAGACTGCTAGGTTATCCATAATCACTGATGTGTACATCTAATTGGACCCAATCAACTACCTCTTCTCCCTCCGAAATCCTTTCAGTATGCCCTCTGGAACTACTGCACTAACCTGGAACTTCAACCTCTTCTCTGAACATTCTCCTCACCTGTAAATCTTCACAGAAACCTAGTTTCTCCTGCAGGCTTCTCAAGAGGCCTTTTTTCCTCTTGTACTCCCTGACCTCCGAAGCAGGAAGGATGTGCTCCTTCCTCCTCACTGCAGCTTCCAACCTGTCTTCTCCTTCCTCCTCAAAATACTCCAGTCCCATTGAAGGTCATGCTGCCCAGCCAGCTCACTGTGAGCCTTTCCTATTCTTCCTTACTGCTGGCATCTATTAATCTGACCTCACTCACTGAGGACTTTAGTTCCTGACTCAGTCTTCCTCTGAGTAGCTTCAATACTGACCTCTTAGTTCCTTGACTTTCTCAACTCCAATAATCTTCATTTCACTTCGGCTACCCACCACCACAGTCACAACCATGACCTTATCATGACCAATAAGCTGTAGCACTTTCAAAATATCACCTTCAACTATCTCCCTCTCTCACTCCCACCTTCCTTACTCTAGAATTCCCACTGCAAAAATCCTTTAGCCTCACTGGTATCTCTAATCCACTGACTACTTTTTCACTGTCCATGACCCCCTCCTGTCTCCACTCATGTCTTACCATTGATCAGCGATCCATCATGATTATTTTGCAACTACTCTCAAGTATCCTGCTGCTCTAATCCTTCTTTGTACGAGCCTGGCAAAATCCCAACCCTCATTGACTCCAATCACTCACTTTGTCTATTCCAGCAGCTCAATGTTGCCAGAAGGGGGGAAAAAAAAACAATCACAAAACTATGCTATTTGCTCTTCAAATTCATGGCCAAAGATCTCAAACAGGCACTATGTCCTACCTATCAATCTGATTTTTCTTAGTAGGTTGACTTTCCATCTCTGAGACCATGATTTCACATCTCCTCTTCTCTGCTCAAGTATCACGCACCCTTCTCTCCGCCCTACTCTCTGTTGATTATCTCACCTCATTCCTCAATTATAAAATAAAAGTAATCAGACAGTGACCCCTCATTTTCCAAATACCCTGTTAACCTATCTGCATGTATACTGTCGTGTCTCCTGTCATAAGGAACAAATAGCTCAGCTCTCATCCAAGGCCAATCCCCTGTATGTGCTCTGAATCCCACTCTCGTTTCTCTTCTAAAGTTAACTTCTTCAGTCATTCCCTCCTCCTGTATCATCAACGTATCCCTGATGTAGCATTCCTATTAGCATACAAAGATACTCTAGAATTTCGCAGCTTAAAAGAACCCTCTCTTAATTCTCCAATCCCCTGCAACTGCTTCATCATTTCTACACTCCCCTTTCACAGCAAAAATGTGTCTCCACTTTCTCACCTCCCAGTCACACTACTAAATCTGACGTCTTTCTCTACCCTATCACTGCAAGAGCTTTCATCAAGGTCACTGACAAACCTCTACACAACTGAAGCCAACAGACGTTTCTGTGGTCCCAAATTACTGGAAATCGTAGCAGCAATCAACAAAATGAACGGCTCCATCCTCCCAGAAACACCTTCCTCTTCTCCTCTGTCAGCCCTCTCCTGGTTTTCTTTATATCTAACTGGCCATTCCTCACTCTCCTTAGTTAACACGTCTTTCTCCCCTCAACCTCTAAGTGAGGCAGTGCTTTTC